ACAGAAACATAACCAGGACCTCAGCATTTCTCACTGGAGTGGCTGGTGCAAAGAAAACTAGATGGAACTAGACTGCCTTCCAGAACCTGCACTAGGCCTGAGATCCTAGAGATTCATCTGCCAGCCCAGACACAGGGAAAGCATTTAACTAGCCTATTCCTTCCCAGAGTAAATCCTCCCTATCACACTGAAAAGTCCAGCTCACTGGTCCCCCACCCCCCAACCCCAAGAGCCTGAGACTATCCTGACTGAAGGTGTAGACGAGAGGGAGGAAGTTAGGGAAGGAAAGGATGCACCTGATGAGAAGGAGGGCTTCCCCTCTCTGGAAGGGCAAAGTAGCTCCCAGGCTTCTGTGTACTTTCCCATGAAGAGATAAGACATCTCCAAAGGTTCAAGAATGAATGGAGAATGGATGGAAACTGGACTTTTGGTGGTTAACATGATACAGTCTATACAGAAGTTGAAATATAATGATGTACACCTGAAATTTATACAATGTTATAAACAATTGAGACCTCAAAAAAAAAAAAAAGAAAGAAAAGAAAAGAATGAATGGAGAATATTCTGCTTGTATTCAAACTGAAAGACATTTTCACTCTTATTGGGGTTGCACCAAATTCTCATTTTGACAGTTTTAATATATTAGAGTGTCCATCAACAGTCTAATGTGGTTTCAGCGAACGATCTGGTAACGTCAGAGGAGCGTTGGTCAAGGACGGTTGGAGTGCTTGGGACAGCCATTGGCTGTCCAGCCCTCCGCTGTCCAGTCCTCCCTGTAGGAGAGGGGAGGTGTGTGCTGGCACTAAGAGGCCCTCTGCTTATTTATCTTGGGCCAGGGGCTGCCTGGGGCTAAAAGAGAACCCAAAATGTTCATAGCAGCATTACTCATAATAGCCACAAAGTGGAAACAACTCAAAGGTTCCTTGATGGAAGAGTGGATAAACAAAATGTGATCTATCCTTACAATGGGATACCATATGGCCATAAAAAGAAATGAAGTATTAATACATGCTAGGACATGGATGAACCTTGAAGACATTATGCTAAGTGAAAGAAGCCAGACACAAAAGGTCACACATTGTATGATTCCATTTATATGGAATGTCCACAGTGGGAAAATCCATAGAGACACCAATCAGGTTAGTGGTTTCTAGGAGCTGGAGAGTTGGAAGGAATGAGGAGTGACTGCTAATGGGTATAGAGTTTCTTTTTGGGGTGATGGGAATGTTCTGAAATTAGATAGTGGTGATTGTTGCACAACTCTATAAATGTACAAAAAACCACTGAAGTGTGTTCTTTAAAAGGGTGAATGGTATGTGAATATATCTCAATAAAAACAATCAACAAAAAAACCCAGCATTACAACAAAAAAGAGAACACAGAATCCACTCTATCAAGTATCAGAGTGAAACATTGTCTTATGAAGCTGGGCCATGGGAGAAAGGCCCTGGGCTGAGAGAATCTTGGGCCTGTGTTTAAGCCTGGGCTCCTCCACTAGCCTTAGTATGACTTTGAGCAAGTCCTTTCACTTCTCTATGCCTCAGTCTCTGTATCTGTTAAATGGCATTCTTGTGAGAAAATATATCCCTGATGGGATTTTGAAAACTCTAAAATGCTTATTTAAAATTACAATGAACTAATTACAGGCAAGGTATTATTATAGTACTTGAGAATTGAACAGATGTCTTAGAAAGTATGATGAAAGGTGACCTCCGCAATTGCCTCCATAATCAGAGCTCTGAAGACGCGTCACTATCCTCATGCGTGCAGAAAAATCACCCGTTTCTGAGCACACACTGCTTGCTTGCCCTCTCTCCCCTTTAAAAAGAGTGCCAAGTTGCCAGCTGCAACCCTGATTGCCAGGCCCAACCTGATCTTCAGTTCTTCAAAAGATGAGAAATGTGGAGGCTGAGATGAAAGAAAGGTTTCTGAATCAGCAAAAAAAGGGAGAAAAATCTTTTAATACCTACCTGCTATGCAGAATGCCCCTTGGCACAACTTCTGTTGGATGCTTGGATGTTCCAAGCTTTTGGTGCTGGGAGTCCTTTGGGAGATTGGATAGTCTCCCTCATCTCATAATTGACCTAGGGAAGGGGACTATGTTGGGACCCGGCTGGGCTCCAGGACTGCAAAGTCTCTATACAATTCCCTGCCCACTGCCCATTGCTTTATTGTCCTTCCCAATCTCCATATAGATTTCCAAGGTTCTCCTGGGGTACCCAGGGAATGCCCTAGGGAATATCTCCTCTATTTTGATTCTATATCTTAATAACTTTCAAATCCCAAATAAAGTGTTTCTCTCCACCCTCAATTATTAGGGCTTCCTAGCAGGCCTTTTAGAAAGATAATTAAAAATTCTTTGGAACATTAAATAAACCCTATGCACTGCACTCTACTCAATAAAGCGCTCCCCCCTTAACTGTTCCAAAGTAATTGAACCATTGCACATGATTCTTATCCTACCCTTGCAAATCCTGACTGGTTTTCTCCCTCAGACGTATCCAAATAACAGATTCAACATCCATTCATTTTTCTTAGGACTGGGACAATGTTCAGAATCTTTATTAAGATAGTCCATAAAAATAAGAAAATTAATTTAACCAGATGCAGAATTCCCCCCTCCCATCTAGATTATTAAAATACTTGCCTCTCCCGCTTGTCTAGTATTGAAAAATCCAAGTCCCATTAGGTCATGGTCAAGCAATGTTCAAAGAGGGGCAGGGGCCAGGGGATCAGCTCACCCTCTCTCCTGCCCACTCCTTAGTCCCAGGGAAGTCCAGGCCACATCCATAGAGAATCCACCAGCTCTGGGGCCACCTCAGCTGGGAAGAACGGTGCTCAGAATATAGCAATGTCTGAAATAACAGTTTGCCAGTTCTCTTTACAGGATTGTTTGTTGGGGGGCAGGGGTGACTCCAGTGTCTTCAGTCACTAGAATGCTTGTTTCCTTTATTCCTTCAAATTTTTGTATATTTGAATTAAAAACCGCTCCTTGCCACAAGTAAAAGGATCCAAACTCTTGGGGAATCAGCGTGAGCAGCCTGACGTGGATGAACTACTCCACGGTGTGGACGGGCTTTTGGTTGCCGGCCTCTTTTCGGGGCTCACAGTTGCCTAGGGAGAATAGCCGGTTTTGGGGCTGGGTTTATGGATAAATCCTGGCGAAGTCCAGCCCTGAGAGCGCGCGGCCCTGGTTTCCAGCTAGCGAGGAGCAGTGAGATAATGAATGTGAAAAGGCTCCAGGCGGGGGATTGTTATTCGTGCGAATACCCTTCTCAGTAGCGAGCGCAGGATGCGGATGGAGGTTCATCTTCAAACAAGGGGACACATTCCTACTTTGGGCGTTTCGGAAAGTGTGTGCAATCTTGATTTGCAGTCGTGTCTCTTTCCGTTAAAGGTCCCTGAATGTTGAAGTGCCTCTCAGAACCCGCCCCCAGCCCCTAGCCCCTGTGTTCACCCCTTTCCCCGCGGGGCAGGAGGTCCGCTGTGTCCAGACGGTGGCGCTCCCGAACAGTGCAACCCCCTCTCCCCCACCGCAGCAAGACGGTTAGTCTAGGACAAGTTTCAAGGTGTTTGCTTAAATTTTCTGCGAGGCTTCTCAACAAGATCCGTAACTTGTAGTAGCAGGCAGAAATCCAGTCACGTGACCAAGGTTGTTGAGGGAGTGAGTATCAGAATCGCGCCGCTTTCGTTTAGCCTGAACCATTCGGATTTCCCGTGGCCCGCGCGCTCCGAAAGCCTGGGCGCACCTCAGGGAACCTTGACGCCTGGGTACGGCGATCCGTGGGGCTAGGGGGGCGGCCTGACCCGGATGAGGTCGAAATGAGACCCCTGGCAGGGGATGGCAAGGGAGAAGGACCGAGATGAGTTGTGCCTGGGGCGGGGGGCGATGGCCTGCGGGTAGCTTCTTGGCTGCGCCTTCCGGCACCTCCGAGCCTGTCCCGTTGCTGCCGCGAAGCTCTCTGAGCCTGCCAGAGAACCCCGAGCCACTCGGTAGACCATGCAGAGCACCTCAAGAGGGGACAAGAGCTGGAGCCACTCGCCCCGGGTTTCTTTGAGGAGCGGCGGCCCAAGAGAAAGGCTTTCTTGTCGGTTTTACTTTTTCCCAAAGCAGCCGCTGAGCTCCCACAGCCAGGGTACCCGGAAGCAGGGAAGGGGATGAGCTCCCACTATCGCTCGCACCAAGTGGGCGACCAGCTACCTCCCCTTGCTCCTAGAGTGCAGACTCGCTCCCTGCTCCCAGAGCTGGACGCGGGAAACATCTCCTTATGGAGAGCACAAGTCCGGACTGGGCTGAGCGGCCACCCGCAGCTGCCGCTAAGGGAGCCAACTGGCTCTTGACAGGCACCGGAGCGGGGATAAGTTCCCTAGAGACAGGGGACCCAGATTTGGGATGGAAGCCCCCCGGCAGATGTCCCCTGCTCTCCGTGGGGTGCAGAAGGCTCTGAACAGGCAAGAGTGCCAGGAGTGGGATGAACCTTTCAAGGAGACTGCAGGGGCGCATATGTAGGGTTCAGCGGGCCACTGGCCGCCCCTTACACTCTGCTGGAGGCTTCAGACTGGCGTGGGTTGGCACTGGACCCCCTACCCCCGCTCTGCGTTCTACATCGCTTTCCCAGGTGATTGCGTTGGAGGAGGCAGAGAAAAGAACTTGCTAGAAACGGAGGCGCAGGGGCTGCTGGGGGGATGGGGGGTGGAGAAGTGGACTCCAAGCTTGTCACGAAGCAAGGTACCTGCGGGATGGTGGCGGAGGCGGCTAGAGGGGAAGCACATACAAGGCAGTCGGAAGCAAGACGACACCTCGATGTGGATTTGTCCAAGAGTTGGTGACTAAAGCGGGGGTGGTCAGGGAGCTCTGATTGGTCATGGGGAGGGATTTAGGGCGGGGCTAGCGGCCTCTTGAGGCTTTAAAAGCTCATCGGAGAGGGGCGGGACGCTGTCATTTGCTGTCTGATTCTCTGAAGGGAAGCGGCTTTCACTGGAGCTCTTGGCAACAGAGCAGGTGTTTGCTGTTGGTATCTGGCCGGGAGATCTGGCTGGGAGATTCGGGAGCAACATGAGTCCTACCCTGGCGGTTCCCACCCCATACGGCTGTATTGGTTGTAAGCTGCCACAGCCAGACTACCCACCGGCTGTAATTAACTTTATGTTCTGCTCCATGGTTATCATCATCGTCATAGACCTGATCGGCAACTCAATGGTCATTTTGGCTGTGACGAAAAACAAGAAGCTCCGAAATTCTGGTAAGCCACCCTTCCTTCTCCCTACCCAGTGTGCAACCACTTGCAACCCCTAGGGTGGTTAGTTTGGGCGCCCAGAATAGGGAACCCGTGGACAGTGCCTGAACGTCCCTGCCTCCCAATTCCCTGCGAACCTGGGCAGTGATGTTCTGCTGGGGCCCCGTAAACTTAGACCTTCTGCAGGTTGAGGGAGCTCAGAGAATTAGCTTTGGGCGTCCAAGTGCAAAGCCCGGGTTCCCGCTGTGCGCGGCACACTGCCAAGCCCTGGCCCGCCGGGGACCTGATGCAGAGGGAGCCGGCACCGGAGCGGAGAGTCCGGCAGCCGCCCGGGGACAGCACACCGAGCCCGACGCTGCAGAGGTGGCCGCGCTGAGGCAGCGCGGGCGGAATTGACGCGGAGGGAGCAGCGGTGTTGGACCCGCTCAGAGAAAGTTAAGTTCGCGGCGGCTGCGGCGACGCTTATCGGAGCGCAGCGCAGAAGCCGAGCCGAGCTCCCGCTCGCTGTGGCCCTGGGGCTCGATAGCGGCTCCCGGGCAGCCCCCCGGGCGGTGGAGCGCAGACTCCCGTGCCTGAGTGTGGAGCAGGGCGCTCTGAGCCTGCCAGAGCCGAGCTCCGTCCGCCCGTCCTAGGGCGCACGGCGGAGATAGGAGAGCGGCGGGCTGGGCGCAGCAGGCGGTGGCAGCGACGGCGGCGGCAGCGGACATCCCGAAGTCCGTAAGCAGGGTACAGGGGGTCGCAGGGCGGGGCGGCGGAGAGGTTCGGCAACTTGGCGTCTGAGGGTGGGTGGATAGAAGACTGCAGAACCTGATGAGGTTGGCAGGAGGGCTGCAGGAGAGCTCAGAGGGGGCGATGGGAGGCGCGGAGAGACTGCAAAGCTCGGGGATCTGGACTGGGGTGGGGCGGCGAGCGAGACTCCCCTCGCTGCCAGCCAGTGCCAAGGGGAGGGGGCGGGCTGTGAGCGGGGCAGACGGGAAACACGGGAGGATGCAGGGCGATGCGACCTGTGCCGGGGGTGGGGGCGGCAGACACTGGGCGAGCCCAGATTGCAGGTTTGGGGGAGACGGCTCTGGAGGGGAGGCGGAGCGGCAAAGGGGCCCAAACTCCCGCTCAGGCCCTGGGATGGAGGGGGCGGCGCCCAGGATCTCTGGGCCTGCCTGGGCCACGCGGCAGAGAGGGGAGAGGGGCGGGGTCTGAGAGGGTCGGGTATCCATAGGACCCTGGCGGGCAGGGCGCGGGGTAAAGGAGGCGGCCAGTCTCTGGGGGATTACTTTGCTCGCTCGAGGAATCACGAAAACCACACAAGATTCAAAATGTACTGACGGGCACACAGTAATTAAAAGTTTTCTCCTAAACTCTTGTGGATGTGTCTGATTTCTCCTTCATCCCCTGGAGACGTGAGGCAGCACACTTGGACCTCAACTTCACTCCAGCAGTGCGGTCCTAAGGTGCCGAACTCTGGAGCCCCGTGGAGGGAGGCACCTGTGAAGCTGGTTACTTTTCTTTACTTATCTTTCCTTTTCTCTTTCTCCTTACTTTCTTTCTATACTTTAAAAAAAAAAAAAAAGATTTTTATGGTTGTTGTGGTTTTGTTTTTAAGGCTTTGCCCTCTCTCTTTCCTGCATTCCTTCTCTGAATTCATTACTTTGAGGGAAAACCCTAGAAAGAATCTCTTGGGTAGAAAGCGCTGAGGTCGCGCCTTGGCAGCGCCGGTGGAAGGAGGCAGAAGGAGCTATTCCTTTGCCCTTTCAATGAAGTGTAGTATTTTGCCAAATTAGCAGCGCGGTGTTTCCAAAGAAAGAAGGCTCTGCGCCTGCACTTGGCCTCTTCTTTCTTTTTTTGAAAGGTTTTGCAAAGACGTTTCTACCGCTGCCCTACAAAACAGGAGCAGGGGCAGACACCGCTTCGCTTTCCTGTTTAGCCCGCAGGCTCCAGTAAAGCTCCGTGCCAGGGGCCGGGAGCCCTTGTGCAGGGCAGCAACGTGCCGGGGCGCTGTTCTGCGCGTGGACCGGCATGAGCAGGCACTTCTGCCAATCCTTGCAGAAATTTTCCTGATTTGTTTCCCTCCCTGCTCACTATTGCTTTGGCTTCAGACTAAATTTTACAGGGTCTCCAACCCCCCCTCCGTTTTTACTCTTAGGTTACCTCGGAAATGGTAAGTATTGACTGGGCTAGGTCTTAGGTTATTGTCAGACCCTGTTGGCAAAGACTTTGAGAAACCATAGCCTCTAATGCCTTTGCTCAGACACTTCTCTTTAGACATGTCTGCGTTATAAATACAATGCTAGGTTAGAGAAGGCAGAGGGCTAATTTATTTTTTCCTGGTGGGGGTTTGAGGCTTCCAGACATTCCTCCAATCTCTCCCCTTCCCCCTCACCCTCTAACCTACTTCCTAAGGACAGCTTCATCTAGCTCACCTCTACTCCCCTCTCCCTGCTCTCCCCACCCCCTGTCGGGGAAAAAGTTTGCACTTTGTTTTTGCCTAAAACGGTGGCACCAAGTCCATACGTGAGTGTGAAGTGCTCCTCAAGGGGCTGTTGTGCTTACTGCTTTCTGACATAAGTTCACTTCTTTCCCAAAGTAGAGATGATGATGTTGTTTGAAAGGAAAAAACGTGGACAGAGGATAGGTCTCCCAAACCTGGTTGTGCGTCAGGATCACCTGGGACATGCTTGTAAATAAAAATTGAAACACAACTGTATTTCTTTAAAAGAGTTCTAGAATTCTAAATTGTCATGACTCTGGGCTTGCCTTTTCTTCCAGCTTAAATTTGTAGATTTCCAAACTTAACCATTTATTCTTCTCTATCTTTCCCCCTTCCCTCCCCCAAAATGTTTTTCAGGCAACATCTTTGTGGTTAGCCTCTCTGTGGCTGATATGCTGGTGGCCATCTACCCCTACCCTCTGATGCTGCATGCCATGGCCATTGGGGGCTGGGATCTGAGCCAGTTCCAGTGCCAGATGGTTGGATTCATCACAGGGCTGAGTGTGGTCGGCTCTATCTTCAATATTGTGGCAATTGCCATCAACCGTTACTGCTACATCTGTCACAGCCTCCAGTACGAGCGGATATTCAGTGTGCGTAATACCTGTATTTACCTGGTTGTTACCTGGATCATGACTGTCCTGGCTGTCCTGCCCAACACGTACATTGGCACCATTGAGTATGATCCTCGCACCTACGCCTGCATCTTCAACTATCTGAACAACCCGGTCTTTGCTGTGACCATCGTCTGCATCCACTTTGTCCTCCCTCTGCTCATAGTGGGTTTCTGCTACGTGAGGATCTGGACCAAAGTGCTGGCCGCCCGTCACCTGGCTGGGCAGAATCCTGAAAACCAGCTTGCTGAGGTTCGCAATTTTCTAACCATGTTTGTCATCTTCCTCCTCTTTGCAGTGTGCTGGTGCCCTATCAACGTGCTCACTGTCTTGGTGGCTGTCAGTCCGAAGGAGATGGCAGGCAAGATCCCCAACTGGCTTTATCTTGCAGCTTACTTCATAGCCTACTTCAACAGCTGCCTCAACGCTGTGATCTATGGGCTCCTCAATGAGAATTTCCGAAGAGAATACTGGACCATCTTCCATGCTATGCGGCACCCTATCCAGTTCATCTCTGTCCTCATCACTGATGTTCGTGAGACTCGGGAAGCCCGTGCCCTGGTCCGTGCCCATGCCTGCACCCGTGACCAACCCCAAGAACAAGCCCATGAACAAGACCGTGCCCGTGCCTGTCCTGCTGTGGAGGAAATTCCAATGAATGTCCGGAACGTTCCACTACCTGGTGATGCTGCAGCTGGCCAACCTGAGCGTGCATCTGACCACCATAAGTCGTCCTCTGGCCACTCCAGGTCTGCCTCTGCCCACCGCAAATCTCTCTCTGGCCACCATAAGTCTGTCTTTAGCCACTCTAAGCCTGCCTCTGGCCACTCCAAGTCTACCTCTGGTCACCCCAAGTCTGCCACTGTCTATCCTAAGCCTGCTTCTGTCTACTTCAAGGCTGACTCTGTCCATTTCAAGCCCTCCTCTGCCCATTCCAAGGCTCACTCTGTCCATTTCCAGTCTGCCTCCGACCACCCTAATCCTGTCACTGGCCACCACATCCCTGCTGGCAGCCACTCCAAGATTGCCTTCAGCCCTGCCACCAGCTGCCCTAAACCCACCACTGGCCATATCAACCCTGCTACCAGCCACCCTGAGCTCAGCACTGCTGACTATCCTGAGCCTGCTGTCGCCAGCCACCCCGAGCCTGCCATCACTGGCCACCCTGAGCCTGCTGCTGCTGGCCACCCTGAGCTTACTGCCTCCTGCCACTCTGAGACCACTACTACTGGCCACCTTGAGTGTGACATCACTGACCTCTCTGAGCCTGCCTCCAGCTCTGCCACTTGGTCCCCTGAGCCTGCCACCAGCCTGCTAGAGCTTTCTGCCACCACTGACCTTCTTGACCCCACTGTGGTCACCACTGCTACCAATGATTACCGTGAGGCTGTGCTTGTTGATGCTGAAGCTGATTCTGATGAAATGGCTCTGTGAAAGATGCTCTCAGGGGTGGCCAAGCAGTGGTCCACTTTCAAGTTTGTCTAACATATGTAATCCGAAGTGAGATACCTTACTGCACCTACACACAGACAGACACACGCAGATATTGACTCACAGACACGGTGTAAGCTACACCCACCTTTCATACTCCTCCTTTCCATAACGTGCTCTGAAAAAGTGTGTGTGTGCGTGTGCTTGCTATTTTAGAGACCAAATTTCCCTTAAGTTTGGCATCTGATGTTCTGAGCCTCCCTTTCCTCCTATGGTTTACTTTGAGCCCACAGTGATCCCTGACATTGTAGACTTTGATTTTTTCCCAATCCCATGTCCTCCTTTCTCCCCTCTCCTCATTTCCTCCTCCTTGTACCTGCTTTCTTCTCCCACTCCCTGAGGAGTGGGGGAGGAGTGCATGCGCAATGGTGAAGGTGTGCTGTGGCGAAGGCTTCTGTAAAGTCAATGTGACTGCAGAGCTCTATGTTTCAAGTGTGTAACTCTATATCGTACTTTTAATGGCAGTCCGAAAGGCAATTGCGATAAAGTGCAAGTACTTGAAACAGTTTCTTTTCTAAACTCCAACAACAGAATATTACTCATATCTGAAGAACACAATTTGATAAGCTCTTATTAAAATAACGTTTTATGCCTATGAGATCAAATGGCAAAAGGAAAGAAACGGCCACACCGAATTATTTCTATTTTGTGAAGAAACATTGGTGCTGATTTTTATAGTCAATCGTGAACGCAAATTATGGGCTGTTTTTACCTTATTTGTAGTCACTTACCTTTTTCAGTATTTGCCAAGATTTTCTTTCATTTAGTTTCAGAGAAACAAATTCATTCATAAACTAATTTCTTCTAAAATCCAAACTTATGGTTGCTAGGATCAATTACAGTCCTGTTTTTAATATTACAATTCATAACTACTCTTTACCTCAGAGATTTTTTTGAACAGCCTGATGCTTTCACACAATCAGTTTTTACATTTTTCTTTTTCATTCAAAAGGGAATTCGAGGTAATAACTGGTAGCCAGAAGTGAGCGAAGTACTGCCGTGGAGGTGGTAAATGAGTGTTTCTCCAAAAGCCTTTCTCTCCTGCCTTGTCCCTCTGAGCCCCCTAGCTGGGGAGGGAGGCAGGAGGGAGAGATGCCAACAACAGCCAATCCCACCAGCCTTGACTGAGGCTCAGTGATTCACAATGTTAAGTCGCAGACGTTTTGTATCAGCACACTTGACAGCCCAGGAAATGATTTTTCCTCAGAATTCAATAAAAAGTTATTTTTTAATAAAAATTTCCATTATTGATTCAAATTGACACTTAAAGCAAAGTTTACTGTGCAAAAGCTTGTAAGGATGAGTGGAAATGTATTATACTGCCTTAATTTGACTCTGTATTTGTGGTAGCAATTAAATAAAGTGTTTTTTGCGGCTTTGGTGTGTGCTTTATTGATAAATTCACTTCCTCCACCAGACTTACTTGTGGAGAGGGTTAGGGGGTGGATGGAAAAGCATTGACCTGGGGGGATTAGAAGAGTTGGGTGCTTTTAATCCCTGCTATGAGCTTGCTATACCCCAGGACAAGTCACATGACTCCTCTCTCCTTAGTTTCTTTCTTCAGCAAACTGTCGAGGTCAGGGTGGGTTTGGGGGTGGTCAGGGCGGGTGGGGGTGGAGGAGGGCTAGCTGGGTTTGGTGTGTTCTTTTCACTAGTGTGGTGACAATGGACTACCAGACCTGCCTGCTCTTGGACTTCTGGACCTTGCCTGCCATGCCCTCTGAAAAGAGGTCCCTTTGTACCCCATGGAAGGAATGAAGCCAGGCGCCAATAATGTCACAACCCCACACGCTGCTGGGATCAAGTAACTGAGTTCATGAGCCAGTGGGGGGAGGGACTGGAGGAGGAGGCAGGAGGTGATTGCCTCTCTAGCAAGAAGATGGGTGGCAAGACCCCAGGCACTGGGCAAGTCACCCGACCTCAGGAACATAGTCTCCAAAGAATCTCTAATGACAAGGAAATGCCCTAAATAAACTGCTCCGTAAAAATAAAAGTGGATTCAAAATAATATACAATAGGATATCAATTTTGTTAAGAAAATACATACACTTAAAGTATGCACATATACATATACATATGTAGTTGTTCTATCCAGGTTTAACCAGACTGTGAGTAGAAACTGAGGTCATCTTAACTTTTCATGCCCAAATTACAGTGGTTCGAGCTCCATCAGAACGACTGCTGGACTTGAGGCTGATTCCCTGGGCAATTTCCGCCGAGTATTCCTGGACATCCGAAAGGATGCTTACTCATATGCTCTCAAACTGGTCTACAGTCAGCACCCTCTCCCCCTGTTCTCCATGTTCTTCCTCTCTGCCCCCACCCAAGGAGATTTGCTTAGGGTGAGATCACAAGTGTTCAGACCAAAGGTGCTGTGCCCCCATGTTCCAAACTGCTATTCTCCAGAGGCTCAAGGGGTGCAGGTTTCTGAGAGGAAATAGGAGAGGTGAAAAAAATTATTGGCACTTTTTACAACTTTGTTCCACACTCTGCTCCCAGGTACCTGAAGCGACACTGCTTACGCCCAGAGTCTCACCAAGTCTCACGAAAGCAGCTACTTCAGCCACTCTGCTCACCTGCAAGCTGCCTTGGCCAATCCTGCCTGCCCACCTCCACCTCCATAATCCTCTCCCATAGGAACAAGCGCTAGTTTACCCACAGTGCCTTCTCAAAGTTTATGCATAGCCAAGAAACATTTTTCTCTGCCCCTCTTTCCCTTATCCTGTCCCTCTCCACTCCCAAAAGTCAAGAAGCCTCATAAACACATCTCTGATTTACCACACCCACTGTGAGTGACCAAAGCAAGACATCCAGTCTCTACAGTCAGGTTAAGGGGCTTCGTAGCTCTCCCCATGAAAATGCAGGGCTTCTGGTTTGATACCAGTGAGAACGGAAGGGCCAGTTTTGCTGACTTCCCCAAAGAGAGAATCTGCTTCCAGGTGAGCCTAAGTCTCCCTAATCAGGGATAAAAAAAAGGCAAGCAACTTTTAAATGACAGTTTTCCCCAGTTTCTACTCTTTTTAAATGGAAATATAGTGTATATACTGTAAAATGACAGATCGACATTTTTTTACATATGTATATATCTGTGTAACTACCACTCTGATCAAGATATAGATAGCCCTCCAGAAGGCACCCTTTTGCCTCCTTCTAGTCAATACTCCATCCAAAGGCAACCACTGATTTGACCTCTATCACCATATACTAATTTTTCCTGTTCTAGAACTTCATATAAATGGAAGCATGTGGTATGTATTCTTTTGTGTCCAGTTTCTTTTTTTAAAATTGCAATAAAGTATATATAACATAAAATTTTCCATTTTAACCATTTTTAAGTGTACGATTTGGTGGGGTTAAGTACATTCACATTGTTGTACAAGCATCAGCACTATTCGCTTCCAGAGCTTCTTCATCACCCCAACCATAAACTCTGCAGCCACTAAATAATAACTCCCTATTCCCTCCCTGGTAACCTCTATTCTATGTTGTGTCTCTATGAATTAGCCTATTCTAGGGATCTCATTTAAGTAGAATCATATGGTATTTGTCATTTTGTGTCTGGCTTCTTTCACTGAGCATAACATCTTCAAGGTTCGCCCATGTTGTAGCATGTGTCAGTGCTTCATTCTTTTTATGGCTGAATTATAGTCCATTGTATGGATAGACCACAATTTGTTAGGCCATTCATCCACTGATGGGCATTTGGGCTGTTTCCACTTTTTGGCAGTTGGGAATAGTACTGCTATGAACATTGATTTACAAATATTTGTTTGAGTCCCTACTTTCAATTCTTTTAGATATACAGCTAGGGGTGAAGTTGCTGAATCATGTGTTAGTCTAGCTTCTTTTGCACAATATTATGTCTGAGATTCATTTTTGTGTTTTTGTATCAGTAATTTTTTTCATTTTTAGGTAGTACTCTATAGTATGAATATACCACAATTTATTTATTGATTCTACTGTTGATGGAAATTTGGGTTGTTTCCATTTGGGATTACTATGAAAAATCCTTCTATAAATGTTTTTGTACATGTCTTTTAATTCAAATTTATACTGAGATATAATTTTACTTATAGTGAAGTACATAAATCTTCAGTATAGAGCTCAATGAATTTTTACATATGTATACACCTATGTAACCACCACACAAATCAAGATATAAAACATTTCCAGCACTCAGAATGTTCTGTTATGCCAGATTACTTTTGCCAGTTCTTGAACTTCATTTAAAGGGAAGCACATAAAACATACTCTTTTGTATCCAGCTTCTTTGGCTCATTATTTTGTTGGTGAGATTTATCCACTGCTTTGGGTAGAAGTAGTCCATTCGTTTTTATTGCTGCATTGAATTCTATTGTATTGAGTATAACAATTTTTTATCTACTCTACTACGGGTGGACATTTGGGCTGTTTTTCTCGTTTGGAGCTATTATGAAGAAAGCTCTTCTGAACATGCTTGTGCATGCTTTTTGGTACACATATGGACTCATTGCTCTTGGAAATACACCTAGGATTGGAAGTGCTGAGTCATGTGTATATGTGTATTTAGTTTTAGTGGGCACTGCCAAATATTTTTCCAAAGTGGTTGAACCAATTTATATTCTCACTAGCAATGTATGAGAGTTTGAGGTGCTCTGCATTCTTGCCAACATTTGGTATTTTCAGCCTTTCTTAGTTTTAGCTATTCTAGTGGGTGTCTAGTGCTATTTCATTGTGATTTCAATTTGCCTTTCGTTAATGATTAATGATGTTGACCATCTTTTCACATGATCATTGACAATTTGGATATCTTCTTTATTGAAGGGTCTGAACAAATATTTTGACTATTTTAAATTTGAAGTTTCTGTTGTCTTATTGGCAGTAGAAGTTCTTTATATATTCTGGATATGAGTATATATATACACACATACATATATGTATGTCATAAATATGTTCTCTTAGTCTGTGGTTTGCCTTTTCTCTCTCTTAATTGTATCTTTTGATGAGCAAAAGTTCTTAATATTATGAAGTACAATTAATGAGTTTTTTCTTTTATGACTATGCTTTGCATTTAAGAAATTTCTGATTACTTTAATATAATGAATATATTCTCCTGGT